AATCAGTATAATCAAACACAGCTGGACTCAAATGAAGGAGTAGAACCATCTCAGGGATGATCAGATGAAATGGACAGAGCCTAAGTTAAATATATGAGTGTCACAGCAAAGGGTCTGAATACTTGACCATGTGATATTTCAGTTTTTCTTTTTTAATAAATCTGCAAAAATGTCAAACATTCTGTGTTTTTCTGTCAATATGGGGTGCTGTGTGTACATTAATGAGGAAAAAAATGAACTTAAATGATTTTAGCATATGGCTGCAATATAACAAAGAGTGAAAAATTTAAGGGGGTCTGAATACTTTCTGTACCCACTGTATTAAAGGTTTACAAGCATTTTGTAATCGGTCTTTCTGATCAAAGATATTGAATAGTAGAACAATATAAATTGTAGCCTTCTTGTGTCTATAAATGTTTTTCAAAAACTGATATGCAATTAATGTGGATACCTGAACCGAACCCGACGTGACCTGTTAGTACATGAAGTTTCGGACTCGGTTTGGACAAAAATTTCGGAATTATGTTTGGTTCAGATCGGGTTTGGACACGTAGGTCAAACTTTAGGCTAGACGGCTGTAGCACTTATACGCCTGCTTTGTTTAATGATAAGGGGAAACAGACTCAACTGTGTCTGGCTCAGGTCGAGTTCGGACATTATTTGCTATAAGCTTGCTGGGTCTGGGTCGGGTTCACATGCCATGCTCTTGGGTGGGGGTTGGGTTCAAGCAGATATATGCAGCCTGATTCATGCTCTATAAGCAATACCATACCCTCAAAGGAATTGTACTGTATTTACCAGTATGTATACAGTAATTCTTTGTGCAGAAGTGAGTATACTTCCAGCAGAATAATATCTAACTTGTATCATTCAGGAACTGGGTAGCCCGGGCAGGACAGTGACACTAATTACTGACAACATGAGCCCTCCAACACTGAGCCCCAGCAAGAGGTTACGATCTTTGGACACATTCAGAGGGTAGGCCCCCCTCACCACTACACATCTACTGTCCTGTGTATACTGTACCATGTGATTCTAATGGCACAGCGATATTTTGGTAGCCGACACTGGGATTGTCAGTCACTGATGAGCTGCTTTTGATAATATTGGATTTATTTGTCTTTATTTGTACTGAAATTCAGTACATGTAGCTTCGCTAGTTCTGTTTGGTATAATCTCCTGCCTCTCATGCTCAGTGTCTTTCAGTAATGATATGTTTTCTCTTAGTATCTCCTTAGTCATTATGGTGTTTGTGAACTATGGAGGGGGACGCTACTGGTTCTTTAGACATGAAAGCTGGAATGGTGAGTCCATCTGGTTATTCTTTGAAGTGTTTTTTTAGTGTGTCACAAAACACTTATTATTCACAGACCTTTGTAACCTGCCTTGATATCAGCATTGCAGTTGTATTTGATTTTGAAGAATATATTTCACATTTGTTTCCTTTCAGGCCTCACTGTTGCAGATCTAGTCTTCCCTTGGTAAGCTCAGTTCAAATTTTCTATGTTTGCCCATGCGTTGTGTGTTTTGCCACAGTTTCTTGTGTTCTTTTCTGCTGGTATGATGCTTTTTTTTAAGCCATTTTTAAAATTTTTATTATTAGCTCATTTTGCCTACAAATCAAAATGTCCTTAAAGGTTTAAACTGTCTTCATGTCAGTTTGAAAATGTAATCTATCTACATCTAAGCGATCTTTAAAAACAAAACTGAATAAATCAAGCCAAAATAACAAACATGCAGTCAATAACTGTATAACCAGTTGGAATGTTCTAAATCTTAAATGTAAATTTCCTCCTTTACACCTCACTACTCTTTTTGTCTCATTTTCTCACACATTGTTTCTTCTCCTCTGCTAGGTTCGTGTTTATAATGGGAACATCTATAGCCCTGTCAATCAATTCCTTGCTGCGAACAGGCTCGACCCGCTGTTCACTGCTGATGAAAGTTGTGTGGAGGAGTGTGCAGCTTTTCGTCATCGGCGTGTTCATCATCAACCCAAACTACTGCCAGGGACCATGTGAGTATATTCATACATCTTTTATGTTGACTATAATATTGCAAACCATTTAGATGCTCAGTGGACCATGTTCTTTAATACTTTTAAGACTTGTGTAGTCATCCTCTGTATTTTTTTACTTGGCTGTTTGTTCACAATTAATCCTCATCCATACCACAGTATCTTGGAACAACCTGCGGATCCCAGGGGTGCTGCAGCGCCTGGCTTGGTCATACCTGGTTGTAGCCTGTCTGGATCTGATGGTAGCGAGAGGTCACCTTGACATCCTGACAATGGTCAGCAAGCAGCTCTATTTTAGCCTTGTATAGTGTTCAGCCAGTACAAGAGTTACATAAAATAAAATAAAATGGCCATGTCTACTGTGGATACATAAAGGCATAGATTCATTATGATGGTCTGGCTGTTATCTGTTATTTACCTATCTGTGAGAAATGTATTTGTATTAAATGTGTTTTGAAGGAAAATAAGTGTTTAATTGAGGAGTGCTGTCGTTTTCCAGGATTCCTGGTGGTCCCCTGGTCTTGACATCTTACTGTACTGGCCAGCTTGGCTGTGTGTACTTCTCTTAGAAGGCATCTGGCTGAGCTTCACTTTCTTACTTCCTGTGCCAGACTGCCCAACGTGAGTAGGGGTATATTTGTGTTTTGTTCATCCCTGCAAGGTGTTTCTGTCATGTCTTTGGTCTTGAAACATATTGGCAGTTCAGTCTTATTTTCAGGATAAGTATCACTAGTGTATGTCACTGTATGTTTGATTCAGACCCAGGTCTAAATGCAGATTTAAAATGTATAAACATTTTCTGCCATTGAAATATAACGCCTTCGTAGTGGTGTGCACTCACTGCTTTCTTGTTGGCAATGTAAGATACTAAATTAGTAGTAGTTGTCAGCGTTTTGCATTTTCAACAGCCTTGCTTTTGATGCTCTTTGTCCATTATTAATAACACTAGCTTTATCCCTGTCTGTGGAGCAGAGGCTACCTGGGTCCAGGTGGGATCGGGGACATGGGCCTGTACGAAAACTGCACCGGTGGAGCAGCTGGTTTCATTGATCGGTGGCTGCTGGGAGAAAGTCACATCTACCAGGCTCCCTCATCACGAGTTAGTAACCAGCAAAACAACCCAAACATACCAAGAGCAAATGCATTCATCTCTTTATGGCTTAGGATATGAAGCTTTAGTTTACATATTGTGTTTCTCTCTGATAGACCCACACACGCTTGCTAACCTCAAACATGTTAACATTACAAGGGATGCAAAGGTAAACTGTGATGAATATCCACTTCTGTTTCCATTTTAATAAACAAGGCAATTTATGCAACTCGCATGCCATATGATCCAGAAGGTGTTCTTGGCAGCATCAACTCTGTCTTCATGGCTTTTCTTGGATTACAGGTTTGTAGTGTGTATTTGTCTGGTTCTCTCTTGTTTTTATTCAAATGTCAGAATTGATGACAATATAGTTTGTTGGAAAAACCAGACTCAATTTATGGTTTTAATTGTTGTATTTTTCATTTCCCCAGGCAGGAAAAATAATCTTACATTACAGAGATCTCCCCACAAGTATTATGTCAAGGTTTCTCCTATGGGGTCTGTTTTTGGTAAGCACATTGACTTGCTTTGTCACATTCTTCTTCTACTGTATGTATTCACATATATCAGTGTTGTTACTTGTGAGCATATTTATTGACTTGCTGCATTGCAAAGTAGTATCTCAGTCACAATATTTTTGACTTTTACCATGTACAGTTTTAGGACAGTTTTCTCTTCTTGATTGAATAATAAAACCTCTTGTGACACACAGGGAGTCATATCAGCTATTCTGACCAAGTGTTCCACAGACCGGGGCTTCATTCCTGTCAACAAGAACCTGTGGTAAAGTTGCTTTTATACACTTTCACAGTGAAACACAGTTTTGTCCACACTTGTTTTTTCTGTTGCACAGCTGTTGACTGAATATTTGGGAAAGTTGCCACAAAGAAGAGAGTTTTTAAAAGCAAAGATGTTCCTAGATTGTATTATTGTTATATCCCACCCTATCTGAGATCTTTGAATGTTCAAAGGTGGCTTGTTTAATGCCGATTTTAGTACTTGATAGTTTTTGTGCCTATTTTATGTTGTTGATGGGCCAATGACAATTTTACAGTTTGGTGGGCAAATACATTGTGTAGTCTGTTGTGTCCTTACATTGTTTTGAAACGTTTTTAATGATTTTGAATGTTGTCTGTCCCTTTCACTTCTAGGTCTCTGTCCTATGTGACAACACTGGCCTGTTTTGCCTTTGTGCTGCTAGTAGTGATTTACTACACAGTGGATGTGAAGAAGTGGTGGTCTGGAGCGCCGTTCTACTACCCGGGTGAGTACTGTTATGAGACATAAGGAAGCAGAATAGTGGACAATTTTGACCTTTAAGCATTGTCACTAAGGCAGGTTTTGATTGCCCAAATTAATACAGCATCTGATTAAATTTGATATGAATATGGCAGGCAAGTTTTATGAAAATGTTGTGAAATATCAGTACTTAAACATTAATTATGTCTACAGAACCACTGAACTGGCATGGCCTGTTTGTAGTACTGAGAAGTAAAATCTACCAAAGATGCCAATGGTAAAATCATTCAGAATTTTTCTGTAATCATTATGATGTTTGCTCTACTCACTCTACTTCCAGGTATGAACTCTATTCTTATATATGTGGGCCATGAAGTATTCGAGGAGTACTTCCCCTTTCGCTGGCCCATGGCCAACAGCCAATCCCATGCTGAGCACCTTACCCAGAACCTCGTGGCCACTTCCTGTTGGGTCTTCATCTCCTATGTGCTTTATAGAAAGAAGATTTTCTGGAAAATTTAGAGGTGATGACGGCGAGTCCTTCAGACAACAATAGCGGAGCACATTGTTTACATCAGAATTGCTGGAGTTGTAATCTGAAAACATTTGGAAAGTTAAAAACTTTTTTTTTTTTTTCTTGGTCAAAATAATGCTAATTCTCTGTCTCTGAGCATATTTGGGCTTCCTCTTTTAAACAACATCCTTTTTGTTTTTTATGTTTAGTCACTACTTTATGGAACCATGACTGTCTTTCTCTGAAGATCTTCAGATAAGAAGCAGTTGGCCCTTCCAAATATCTTAACTGACTCAGGAAAAACCTGTCTGAGAGAACTATGAAGATATGTTTGTGTGTTGTGGAAACTGGTTTTCATTCCTCATCTTGTACAACAGACTACTGCAGCAGTGTGTTACAGAAATGGGTTTACAAGCCTTAGTTGACTTCCCCTTGGGAGGATCCCTGCTGCTGCTTCAAGTACAGTTGCATTTCCCCAAAAGTTGAAGTGGGTTTCTGTGAGGCTTGCTCTTCAAGAGCAGAAGGCAATGATGTGCACTCAAAAGAAAAGACGATCAGAAGAGCATGACCTTTCATCACTTTGGTCTTTCATCATTTCTGCTGCACTGTGGAATGTAATATTCAAACAAGGAACAAACAGTATTTAAAGGCTTAAAAACATGAAAGCTGTAAAACCTCATTCCTCAGTAATCATTGCCAGTTATTAGGCTAGCGGAAGTACAAGTGTTTTTCATTTGCAGTCCTCTTCTCCACTCTGACCCTGGTCCCCCTCTCACAGCAAGTGTCCAGGAGTGTGATGCTGTGTGTTGCCAAGTATTGAAGGGAAGTGAAGAAGGGCATGTCAGATGACTGTCGAAACCCACAGGAGGTTTTGCATTTTTTTTTTTTGATTATGTATCAAAAACAGAAGTCACTAATGCATGCTCTTATTTCGTTACAAATGTCCCTTTTATGTCAGCGGTGGCACAAAATAATTTGCCTTTCCTTGACCAAATGTTTGCTATTTGAGTGGCCATTTTTTCATGTTTTGATAAATTTACAGAAGGCAACTATACAGTATGCTGTCGATGTGTAGAAGTTTAATTGTGAAGTAAAAAAATTAAAATAAAACTGCTTTGCCATTGCTCCCACATTACTGTACCTACAATTAGGAGTTAATACAAATACTGCATTTATTGATGGATTTAAGAAAAATTGTATTCTATCTGTGGAATATCCAAATGCTTTGAGATTGTAAGAATAATTGCTCAGATGTAAATCGTTTTGTCAAATGTTTATAGGCCTTCATTTTTTAAAAGTCACAATTTGAAAATGCAAGTTTATTAAAGTTTGTTCTAAAATATGATTGCTGTTTGATTTGGGATGTTTTATTGTAATCATGTTAATATGGTAATGTCTTTCTGACAATGTCTTAAGCCTTATGAATGCAGAAGGTATTAATGAACTTTCTCTTGGAATAACTAGAAAATTGCATTTTTTGAAAAAAAAATGCGTATGGATGCTGAGTACTGAAGTATGAAAAAAAATGCGTATGGATGCCGAGTACTGAAAAATCACCCTGAAAATGCTGAACACTGACACCTGAATGTTTTGCTAGCTGAAAGTATACTGAAGTTGGAATTTCCCCGTTTATTTGAATGGGGTAAGATTTTCAAAATAAAGCTAAATACTTTAAAAGTATGAAGTTTAGAAAAATTCTGAAGAGAAGCATGAATGTCTTTGAGGAGCTGAACATTTTGATAGCTGAAAGCATGCTGAAGTAGAATTTCCCCATTAATTTGAATGGGGCGAGATTTTCAAAATAAAGCTAAATACTTTAAAAGTATGAAGTTTAGAAAAATTCTGAAGAGAAGCATGAATGTCTTTGAGGAGCTGAACATTTTGATAGCTGAAAGCATGCTGAAGTAGAATTTCCCCATTAATTTGAATGGGGCGAGATTTTCAAAATAAAGCTAAATACTTTAAAAGTATGAAGTTTAGAAAAATTCTGAAGAGAAGCATGAATGTCTTTGAGGAGCTGAACATTTTGATAGCTGAAAGCATGCTGAAGTAGAATTTCCCCATTAATTTGAATGGGGCGAGATTTTCAAAATAAAGCTAAATACTTTAAAAGTATGAAGTTTAGAAAAATTCTGAAGAGAAGCATGAATGTCTTTGAGGAGCTGAACATTTTGATAGCTGAAAGCATGCTGAAGTAGAATTTCCCCATTAATTTGAATGGGGCGAGATTTTCAAAATAAAGCTAAATACTTTAAAAGTATGAAGTTTAGAAAAATTCTGAAGAGAAGCATGAATGTCTTTGAGGAGCTGAACATTTTGATAGCTGAAAGCATGCTGAAGTAGAATTTCCCCATTAATTTGAATGGGGCGAGATTTTCAAAATAAAGCTAAATATTTTTAAAGTCAGCATCCATACAATAAATAATTGGATAACATAACATAGTATGGATGCTGAATCAGCATCCATACAATTAGTCTGAAGAATTTATTAAGAATATGTATTCCCAGTGTTACAGTTTACGTTTATTTATAATAAAGCACAAGCTTTGTCCTTTTAACGTGGAGGGGTGTAGTTTGCTGTGTTGCTCAATAAGGCGTGGGAATCGAGTTACAGTTTGTGTGCCTTTTGGGAAAAAAAAAACAAGCTGTGAGGGTGCCTGTATCTCGCGATGTAATTGGTCTATCTTAATTCATGTGTATTGTGAGATTTTTTTCTTTTCTCGCGCGACTTTGTAACTTTCCCACGGTTTTATTCCGTCTACCCTCTGCTCTTCGCCCCTCCCCTCTTTTCTCAACCTTTAGCCCGTTACCTCCTCCTCTTTTTCTCCCTTGCTTCCCTTCCAGTCTGGTTCTTCTCCAGTTGTGGCGTTGGATTTGGCGAGGGACTAGGGGAGGGATCTCGCGATTGTTGGACTTTTTTTCGGGGACAGATTTACTCGGAAGATGGCGCCCGTTGTTACGGGGTGAGTACTAAATTATAAAGCATGTTATTTGAAAAGTTTTGGTTTGTTGTGGTAAACTGTTGCCAGTTTATAGCCCAGTATTGCTAAGTGATACCTCATTAAACTTATCCCACACAGTACTACCTTTTGGGTTAATGTTGGACCAGTTGTAAAACTTATTCATATCGACTGCTTTATTTGCCATTACTTGAACTGTACAATATTAACTCAGTTTCAGACTATTGAAAAGCTTCCTGTCAATCAGCAGTTTTGCATTTTGGTTTAACTGCTTGTTTTGTGTCTTTACTTTCTGCTTGAGTGAGTTGACTATTGTAACAATTTACACATTAATCAGACTGAAACATAGTTTTATTGGTGCTGTACGAGTTGTTGCGTTATTATTGTGCAGTAGTAGTACAGTACAGTATTCCGTGTCTTAATTCCTAAGGCAAACAGCCGTTTTGTAAATAAGTACGCCTGCAATACAGATGTCTCTTACATTGTGCATTTTGCCACTCAGATTTTCACCTATTTTAAGTCAAAAGTCTTGTTTTCATCTCTGATGCATTACCCCAGCACTGAAACCACGTGTAAACAGCTTGCTCACCCATGTTTTTGTTTTGCAGGAAGTTTGGTGAGCGACCACAGCTTCAGCGTTTGACAAGGTAAACAGTGCAAAAAATGCACAGACAGCTTGATTAAAGTCAACGTTAGACCACAGGCCAATCAAAGTGTTAACATATTACCCCCATTTTAGGGAGGCTATGAGGAATTACTTGAAGGAGAAGGGTGATCAAACGGTGCTCATACTCCATGCAAAAGTTGCACAGAAGTCATATGGCAATGAAAAAAGGTTTGTATTGGATTGTTAAAGCTACTTGTTCTCTGACTGTGTGCATGTGTATGATAGAGAAATCTCTCTCTACTTGTCTAAATCAGGTTTTTCTGCCCTCCACCGTGTGTGTATCTGATGGGCAGCGGTTGGCAGAAGAAGTTAGAAAATATGGAGAAGGAGGGATGCACAGAGCAGGAGGCCCAGCCATATGCATTCATTGGGATAGGCAACAGTGAGCAGGAGATGCAGCAACTCAATCTGGAGGGGAAGGTATGTGTGAGGTTTGCAATGTATCCTACAGCTATCCTCTTCTGTTACTTCATTTATTCTACCAGTAAGCAATTTACTCGTGTGCTGTACTGCTTCTCTACTGATAAACCATGCAAAGTATGAAATGTAGCCTACAGCTGCTTTGCAGGCTGACCCTGTTCTCTGTTTGGCACTGCAAAGCTCTTTTAACTGTATTCACCTGATCTTTTTTTGTATTTCCTTGTGTTTTCTTATTGCACAAATGCATTAATGGACTTGTTTTCAGTAGGAGATGAGGGGGAAGTGAAAGGGGGGACAAACAAAAACACACTCACACAAAACACACTGACCTGTG